AGGGATTGTGTGCTACATACAGGGAGACCAATTAATTGGTGGACCAATTTCTTTGGCTGATGTTACTGTTTAAATAATCATCCACCGGCCACGTTTCTGCATGCTTCTCCAATTTCAAGTAGAAAAAAGGGCTCCTCTGTGCAGCTCCATTGTTGGATTTTTATATTGGCCACTTTAGTTTATTTTGGTTTCCATGTTTTCTAAAGACTGGCATCGGCAGTTGAAAACTTCACCGTCCTACCTTTATTAGTGCGTCAGTGTAACATTTGCTGTTTGTATTATTGTTAAATGGTACGCATTATGCTAAACTCACCCTCTGCATCTTTTTGTGCTGCCATGTGGGTCTCTACTGCCTTGCTCGCTTCAAACATGAAAAAAGTATGTTTTATGAATGTTTGGGATTCAGGAAATTAAATCCATAAAACAAACTGTTTCAAAAAGTCCCTTAATGAGATGTCACAATAAGAGAAATTGGCATAGACACCCCTCCCCCCACCTGTTGACTGGAGGAGCAGCTGTCCTACTCAGTTTTTCCAGATATCCAACCTTCTCAGCAGCCTGTGTGGGGCATGGGTGGGTGTGGCCGGCTACAGCTTGTTTTCTTAAAGAGCAAGTCACCCCCTACTAGAGGTTGTATCAACTAGTCGACTAGTCGACTTCACTGCTCTGTGGTGACTATTTATGCCTTTCATTGACTAGTCGCTGTCACGTGATAATGACTGACAAGATGCAGTCCTAGGAAAAGACAGCAGGTGACAAGCCCCTGCGGGTCCGGAGTCGACGCGCTGTGCCAGAGCGACACCCTCCGTAAAACGGACATTTGACCGAATTGTGACCTTTACCCTCTTGCAATATAACCTTCCCCTCACCCCCATCCTAACCTAATCCATGCAAAGCTCTGATCGCTGACACGCTCCAGACATTTGTGTCGTGAGCATGGCCACAGTAACATTATCAAATGAGGTGTCGCCACCTGAAAAGCGAATTTAACACGATTGTTTATGTTGGCCGATTTCCCTTGTATGTTTTCTGTCTTTTATTTGTGCCTGATGCGTTTAGCTGCCCCTACGCCAGAAATAAACACTTGGTCACCCATCGTCAGTTTTAGCTGCTTCAGGTGTATGACGTCATCAATGACTAGTCAAAGTCGACTTGATTTTCATTACTTGACAGTTGAATTAAAAAATAATTCAGTCATGCAGCCCCTACCCCGTACCAGACTCTTACCTCACCACACACTTCCTGTTTGAAAAGTGCACTAAAACGAGGTGTTGCCTGGCGAACCGAGAGGGCCGTTCTGTGGCAGTGACACTGACAGCACACACACACACACACACACACACACACACACACACACACACACACACACACACACACACACACACACACACACACACACACACACACACACACACACCACGCTCAGACTGAGAAATGGCAACACACTTCCTAGTCTGGAGGATTTCTCACCACCTCCTTCACTGGAAGTAGGAGACGAAAGGGATGAATGCTTTTTGGAGTAGGCAAGCGGCCCAGAGCCGTATCATTTTGGGTCAGCTCATGAGTTGTCTGAGGCCACTGGGGTGAACCAGCCAGAGGCGAGGCTGCTTTTAAAGCTCCCAGTGGCAGTCCATTAGACACCACACATACTAGCTAACGTCATACAGCACCATTTAGCCAATAGCAATGTTAATTCAAATGATTTTCAACCTGAAGCAGGCGCTACACTGACAGTTTTATGTATTTTTTTAAAATGCACTAAAATGTCAACAATGACTACACATGTATACAGCACTATCAGATGCTCAGTTATGCATTTTATTATCAAAATAAAGTTCGTTTTAGGGGTGACTTGCTCTTTATAGTGACAAAGCCCTGAAGATCCAGAATAAAACTGCTGAAGTTGCGTTATGTGAGCGGGATTCTTTGCCAAGAACTTCATGGACATGTATTGTATCAACAATAGAACTATTATAACAAACAAAATAACAAACATTATAATATCTCCCTTTTAAAGAAATGCCCATTTTTTGTAATTAAATAAAAAAATCACAAATTACAAACTGTGATTGTGGGGAGCAGTTCTTTACCCTTTTCATCCTACTCATTAGTCTCAAAAACACACAACGTGAGTGTTACAATAGCAAAGCCAATAGTTTCATCAAAATGGTCATAATACTTTTGTGAAGTTTGGCTTGCTTTTAGCACCCTCTAGTGTCCACTGTGTTTGTCTTTTTAACACCTTAATCTAACTGAAGTGTTCTCCCAGCCTTCCTTAGTGTCTACAAAAGTGACTCGTTTCAGATTAAACAAGTCAGCTGTGTGCAACTCTGAAGTTGCAAAGAGTGTGGTCTGTGTGACATTTCATTAACCCTGTAAAGAGACATTTTAGCACACAGGCACAAGAAAATTATTTAAAAATATGAAGCTGTAAAGTAGGACTTTCAGGCAAACAAAAAGTCAGTTTGACTGATCACAAAGACACAAATCTATATTCAACAAGAACCTCAGCTTATACAGTTTTGCAGTAACTGTGTCTCTTTAGCACAGAGCTGCTATGATACCTGATATAAACAAACACTGTCCAAAACCACACATTCAGGGCAGTAATGTATTGCTCTTAAAAATAAAATGTGCATTTTGTGGTTGATTAAGCAAGGGAAAAAAGGTTTTGTAGTCTTAAAGAAAGAAAGTTAATAGCTATTAGAAACTTTGCACTGGTTAAATAACAGAGTACGGGAGTGAACACTGTTAGGACGTTTTGTCAAGTTTGGCTTAAGTGTCAAAAGCTTTTTGCTCCTTGTACTTTCACATCAACATGCACTGTAGTACTGAATGTGGCTTTCTTTGTTCTGGGAAAGTGCTTACATGTCACTTTTCTCTGACACCGACAGCATATGATGTTTGCCGGTGTTTTCTCTGGTAATACGAGGAAGATCCTGCTCTTCCACGTTACACTAATGCACGAGCAGGCCGGTCCTCATATGTCAGTTGTAATAGCTGACCCTTTTTATATTGATAAACTTGCCACAGATCGAAATTCACAGGGCACTGTTTTTATCGAAACTGTAGCCAGCTGAGCAACGCTGCGTCCAAAACAACAACAAAAACGCCATCTTTAAAATAATGAATCTGTTTTTAACCGTCTCAACATGAAATTAGAGGCAGCTGACACTGCTTGGCATTTTCTTACATGTTTGAGAGCATGACTGGATGTTAACCACCTAATTGTCCCATCTGGATTTGCTGTTTTGTCTCAAACACACAGCACACACATTCAGTTATTTCCTTTGATTTGTCACCTAACTTCATTGTAAAAGAAGCTGAAGAACATGTTCCCTGTTTTGTGGTGGTGGATGGATTTTAAGAGCCGAAGTAGACCTTCCAGCCAGATAAACTTGTACCAAGACATGATTCCTTTGAGTTTGACGCAATTTAAATCAACAGCTTCAACGTATTTTCCACATTTTTGAACAATCTTCTTTGTTAACATTTTTAACTGGGAGAAAATTCCCTGGCCGTTCCTAAATTTTGCTCTAAACTAACTAACTAAGATGACAATATATGAAACTTACTCTGCTAAGCTCAAAGAAGTCTACCCGCCACTGCAATGCAGACCAAAACTGACAGCTGATCCTGATCCCCGTTTGTGATCAGCTTGTGCTAATCTAACCCCCCTCTTTACCACAGGACTTTGGCAGCCGTGTGTACCCATCTTTTTCCATGTCTCATAACATTTTGCTGCATATGTAATCATAGCAATGACAGTTAATTCATATTAATCTCTTTTTTCCCCTTGCACCCTTTCATTCTCTCTTCCAACGCTTAAAATAGAAGTGGAGCAAAAAGGTAAATAACAGACATGATCCAAATCCTAGCTCCTTGTTTTTGTGGCATCTGGTTGTAAATGACCTTTTTTCTCATGGTGGCCTCTACAAACACATTGTTTCCTTCAGAACACCCCGACTGTAATGTTAACGGCCAGCGTGTAGCGCTACAAGGGAAGTGAGGCTGGCCATAAAATTATAACAATAAAAGAAAAAATGCACACAAGCAGCCAAAAGATGTAAATGGGGGTGTATTGGCTGCAGTCCTTAGGGGCATCCTCTTCTCATTCTCCCCGTGTGCTTTTGCTGCTCAGCAGAATCTCATATTGCTTGGCTTCTGAACCCTTTCTCATAGCATGCCATGGTAACAGTGTTTCTTGGCCCTCTTTTCAAGCTATTGCATTCTACTGCCCCTTTTTTCTCTAAGCTCCCTGTTCTCACTCTTCTCCCCATTATTCCCATCTGACCACTTGCTTCTCTTTCCTCTGTTGAATCTTATGCCTCCTATACCTCAGAGCAACAACCAAAACACCTCAAAAAAAGAGAAACGTTCAGTGAAAGAGCTTTAGAGTTTCACGGTTGTGATATCTGCACCACTTTGTAAAGACAAGTCCTTCAAGCGTACGCTGTAAAAAATGTGGTGTAACTGAGCTTACCCGTGTAAGAGTATAAATTTTGCAGACTCGACTGGCTCCTGCTCTGTCATAACTTCTACGTCTATTGCCAACTGAGATTCTGTTATTTTTAATTATTTTGGCTGCATTTCTTTATTTGTTTGTGTGTTTATTTGTTTACTTTTTGTTTTGTTTTGGTTCACAGGACCAAATGTTCTGTTCAGTTTTGTTTCGACTCTGGTTCTTTTTTGTTCTAGTCTAGAGTCTATGAGGCCAATTACTGTTTCCTTTCATGCTATCCTGCGTATTTAGAGAGTACGCTAATACATCTTTAGCATTTTCCTTTTCTTTTTAACTTTCCTAAATTGTGGTACTGCTTGCTATTATTAGCTGTTAAATCTGTTCTAGCCACTTTTTAATGTATTTGTCCCCGTTTCTATTGGACAACCTGTAAAACAAAAATGATGACATCATTGAATTTGTTGTTGCCATTTAATGTTTTGTGTTTCAAATTTTTAACCTGTACTCGTTTCTCATTCTACTCTTCTTCCATTACTAGTTTTTCTTTGTCCTGGGACTCTGAAAGCTGTCGGTGAGCCCTCCTTTCTATTTGAAGCGGAGCAACAAGCCGGCGCCTGGTGCAAAGACCCACTTCAAGCTGGCGACAAAATCTACTTCATGCCTTGGACTCCATATAGGACAGACACTCTAATTGAGTATTCCTCCCTGGATGACGTCAAAAATGCCCGGCAGACTATTACCTACAAGCTGCCTCATCGCGTGGACGGGACTGGATTTGTGGTCTACGACGGGGCTGTGTTTTTTAACAAGGAGCGGACGCGTAACATTGTGAAATTTGACCTGCGGACACGAATCAAAAGTGGTGAGGCGATCATCAATAATGCGAACTACCACGACACGTCACCCTACAAGTGGGGAGGTAAAACAGACATTGACCTCGGGGTGGACGAGAACGGGTTGTGGGTGATCTACGCCACAGAGCAGAACAACGGCATGATGGTAATCAGCCAGTTAAACCCGTACACGCTCCGATTCGAGGCTACATGGGAAACGACCTATGATAAGCGCTCGGCCTCCAATGCCTTCATGGTTTGTGGAGTACTGTATGTTGTCCGCTCCACCTATGAAGACAATGAAAGTGAGGTCAGCAAGAGCCTGATAGATTATATTTACAATACCAAACAGAACCATGGGGAATACGTTGATATCCACTTTCCCAACCAGTACCAGTACATTGCAGCTGTGGATTATAATCCCAGAGATAACCAGCTCTATGTATGGGATAACTTTTACGTCCTGAGATACAACCTGGAGTTTGGCCCACCTGATCCGGCACACGGTAAGAACCCATCTTCTATACATTTCTTTTGCAGAGATAAATTTGAGACCTCTTTGCTGAGACGGTGATTTTAGCACCTGTCAAGTGCACTTTGATGTCCCTTTGGTATTCCCTGTCTATGTGTCAGGTGTCACAGCTGACTGATTTTTAATTTAGAATGTAATATGTGCTATAGCTATGTTACAGGACACGTTTTAGTGTCGAAAAGCTGTGGGGGGGGGGGGGGGGGGGGGGGGGGCTGTGAGTGAGCAGGGGTCTGCAATAAACAACAACTCAAAGCCAGTTACCGTATCACAAGAGATCGGTGTCTGGGGGATTTGGAGCGGTTTACCATTCCTGCATTCCCAGATTCCCTTGTGGGAAGGCTCCTGGGACCACTGCTAGCATGTTGGTGTTTTATTTTTTAAGAGTGTGTGAGACTGGGAGAAAAGATAAATTCTCACTTCTGGAAACACGTACGCCTGGACAGGTGCAAAGTCTGGCCTGGGGCAAGGTTAGATATTCTCCCAGAGTTGCTGAAATTTCTGTACAATTTCAGTTCCTCTCTAGCCAATATAAACTATGAAGGCAAAAAGAAAGAAAAATGGAAGATAATCCCAGACGCATACATGAGTGTAAGAGTGTAAGAGTGTATGGGTTCAACTAAGATGGACACAAGGGAGAGGGATCAATCATCAAGGGTTGTGTCAGATTCATGTTTTTAATTTAGCTGTCAAGAGCTGAGCAGTAGCTAGGCTAGGCCAGTGATACCACTTGCACTGGAACATAATAACAGTAATTATCCTAATCCCCTTCACACCCAGAGTCCTAAGCTCACGTAATACTCAAATGCAGTCAGTGATGAGCCACAGAGGTCAACCAACTTTTCCTCAGATTATCAGAGAGCTTGATATTTATTAAAATGCTTGCTCGTCCACGTTGGTATTGATAGGACTTGGGCTGAGACTGCTAAATTGGATTCAGCCAGTGGAACAGCTTCAGAATAAGGCAAGCTTTACTGAGACTAAGAATGAAGTCTAGTTTTGAGGCAGAAGTAATATGCAGTGGGTTCAGTGCAACAATCATATGCATTCTTATTCTACCTCTGAATGTTTGATGTTCCTCTGCAGCAAATTTGAGCGGTACAGATGGAATATTTACATGTTACTGGTAAAATTAGATTTATCTGTGAGAACACTAGACTCAAATGGATTTATTAGAGTCTTGTCTTTAAATTGCTTCGCAAACATGGGCAAGCATCCCTCATATTGTTTCAGAAAGCGTCTTTAAAGATGATCATATCATTTTTTTTCTCCCATCTAAAAAGATGAAATCATCTAGCCTTTGGCTGTTATCCTCTGTAAGCTGATTGGGAAGGAGTCATGCAACAGCCTTTATTTATAGTCCAGCTGATATGGATTCAGCTATGTACAAACAGGCTTTATGCACAATTGATTTGTTCATTTGTTGAATGGACGCTGATGACCGATAGCAAAATCGCATGCTTTCAGCTGATCTGCCCTGAAATAACATCACAATCCGGTTATTTGTGTGCATTGTGTCTGGATGCATTACAACCAATCACTTCACAGCGAGACCTCCAGACAATCTAAAGAAGTCCACTTCTCTTCCTGTGAGCATTCGACCCGACATGCTGCATTTGCTCCTTGCTGGACACATTTTTATTTTAATGTCAACAAGGACTCTGTTCTCTCTTCTTGACAAATGGTGCACGAGTTGAGCTCTGCTGCTGACTAATATATGTTGAGTTGAAGTCGATGAGAGTAAGGGAGAGTGGTCCAGGATGATCATCAAGATGTCAATAAACTTGTCCTCCCACATGGCTGATGTTGACACATAAATGATGGCACTTTTTTTTCTGGCTGTCACAGGACGCCCTCTCTTTAATATCGTGATGCTTGTTTGTTCGCCTGCTTCACTGGGCAATGAAACAAGTTATCAGAACACTTTTGTAGCACAAGTTCAAAGTTTTTTATTGTAAAAACAAGAAGTGATGAAGGCTATTTTTAACCTAACATTTCCTAACCAAATCATTTAGTTTAAATGCAAGCAGAATAATTCTGGAGTAAAAACGGCTCCTTTATTTTATAGGATACTGGCTCGTTGATAATCTGAACAAACAAACAAAAACTGCAGCAGCAATTCACTGAAATGAGAGGATATACAAAGGAAAACAGCTATGAGGAATGCTTGACAGCGTTCCGTCTTGGGTGGCACAGGAGTGTGATGATAAGCACTGTCACTTCACAGCCAGAAAGCCTCCAGTTCAGATCTCTGCTGTGCAGAATGTTCTATGAGACGTTTGCATTTTTCCCTCCCTGGATGTGTGGTTTTCCTCCAGCATCTCTGGTGTCCTCCCACAGTCCAGAAACATTTTTGCGGTAATTTGATTATCCAGAACCGACCGGCCTCACGTATCTACATTGTGCAGTGAGCTTTTTTTGAGATGGCCAAATTTTGAATTTAATTTTTGCTAGGTCATTTCTCTAGATAGGCACGTTGTTTCAATTATCTGTTTTCTTTAAGGAAGTGAAATCTATGCTGGTTTTTCACACAGAAATGACCTATAGGGTCAGGGCACCACTGTCTTTGGCAGGCTCACTAGCATACAGGGTTTTTTCACACAGGAATATCCTGTAGAGGAATTTAAATGCACGCAGATGGATGCCTCAGTGGGGCGGTTTGTCTCTGAGAGAGACTGATGATGTGTAAAGTCTCCAATGTATGCTGCAGTTCCTGCTTACTTTGCCCCTGCATTTCCCCAGTACGCCAGTGTGCTTGATTCAGTTTGTCACAGAGTGCAAAACATCAAAGTAAAGTTCGGAGTGTGTACAACAGACAGTTGGGTTCTCGTCACCTCCAATAACGTTGCCCATGTAGAGACGAGATCATCTCTTGTAGGATTATGTGTGTGTGTGTGTGTGTGTAGGGGGGTCATGTCCAACATGCAGCTACTCTGAAAGTGGACATTAAATGGGTCAGTAAGTCCCGCTTTTGGCTTTACGCAGCAGCCCCATAATCCGCTCATTTAACGACGGCTTTGTGCATGTTCTCCTTCTGGCATATAGGTCCTCATAAAAATAAATATTCCTATGTTGCATCTTGTAAGTGCGATGATTAAACTGATCTGAATGAGGTATTCCCATAGAAGACTCATTATCTACCCCGTTCTATAAAAAGTTAATTTATGCCAAGCTTTTATACAATTTAGTGTGTACTATCAAAGCTGTTTTTACCAGATATATGCACTAAAGGACTCTAGCGCTGCCTCAGTGGAACGCACGAGTCTTGGAAACCTTTTATTTCCCCTTTGCTGCAGAAGCCACTGCTGTACAAAAGCCCTCTCTGCTGTAGTTAACACCCACACAAACTGGGACCTCCTCCTTAATTGTTCAAATGTCAATACATTTGCATACAGTTTCAAACTTTGCTGCACCCTTAAACGAGATGCGTGCAAGAGGGGGATTGTAACAAAGGAAATGACCCAATTTGTAAGAAGTTACAAGGTACAGTTCTCCGACGAGACTTGCCAATTAACTTGCAAAGCTCTGCATGTGGTCAAAACGATGCCCTGTAGTTTGTGTATTATGAAAATGCTTTACAGTGCAAAAACGTTCAGCTTTTCACAGATGCATGTGACTTGTGTGCGGAAGCAGTCACCCTAGAGGGCTTACCTCATACAGTTTGATAAATATACAGGTCTCTAATAGGTACCACAATTATCCATCCTCGTCTTCTACAAGTGCGTACGCAGGGGTCATCCCGTGCATAAGACATTTTTGAGAGGAAATGGGAAAAAGTGGGAAAGAGAGATGGATAAGTAAGTGGCAACCAATACTGCAAATTGACACCAACATGAATGTCCTCTAAACTAGGCTTTCTTTCTTTTTTTTTTTTTTTGTTGGACACTAGCCAACAGGAGCTGTTCCACTTTCTCAGAAGAAGCTATTTGTATAGTCTATAATCATTTTGTAAATATGGAGTCAACCCATAACTTGTTCATCACATGGGAATTCTAAAAATAAAGAATGGGAGATGGTGACAATGGCACCCTTAAGGCTTCATGCCGGACACCGACCACTCAGTAGGGAATCTTGCAGTGACTGCTTCAATCATGGTTCCACAGTACCACTCTCAAACCCACACACCAAAAGGTGAAAACAACTTTGGATACTTTAACGCAATCAAAGTCAACATTAAGCTCTCGCAGCCATTAGAAATGGCCAACACTCCCGTCTTTGACAGGCTCGCCAGCATAGAGCTCCGGACCACACGTCACTCTCAGTTAGTAGACGCCATATTGGCAGGAAAAAAAGGTAAACAAACACAGATCGTTAACATGAACATGAACGGGATCGGCTTGGATTTTACTTCGTCGGAGTTTGCTTCACACTTTAAAACCGAAGAAATTGCTATATATAGTCAGAAATTAAATAGACTAAACATCTCCAACCCTTACCGTGCCCCTGGGATACTTTTTAAAAACGCCAGAAGCTGTCGGAGCGGACTTCTTACCGGACCTGGCCAGGGAACGCCCTGGGATTCCCCCAGAGGAGCTGGCCCAAGTGGCTGGGGAGAGGGAAGTCTGGGCCTCTTGACGCTACTGCCCCCGCAACCCGACTCCGGATAAGCGGATGAAAATGGATGGATGGATGGACAAATAACATAGATTTACATGTAAGTAGTCTAAATAGAGAGCTGTGCTGTTTGAATGTATAAACTGAACGCCAAGAGAAATCACTAGTTTGATTTTTTTTTTTCCGTGAATAAAATAAATATGTCGGGCAGGAGCGTCTCAGGATCTGTCTGAGATCTGTCTCGGTGAGACAGATAATAGCAATCCAAAGTGCTTTTTATGTGTGATTTGACAATTGATCAACCATTGCTTAAAAATGAAACACAGCTTAACCGGTTAATTGCTGTGATCATAAAACACGTAAACGGCAGCACACAGAACTCACGAGGCAACATTTTACGTGAAGTTTACTTGTTGCTATGAG